GCATTCAATTGGGTGTATCTTTCTCTTTCTCCCTTGCCTTTCGCTTCCCTTCTTTCCTCAGCTATTTGTAAAGCTTCCTCAGACAGCCATTTTGCTTTCTTGCATTTCTTTTTCTTTGGGATGGTTTTAGTTGCTACCTCTTGCAATGTTGCGAACCTCCATCAATAGTTCTTCAGGCACTCTGTCTATCAGATCTAATTCCTTAAATGTATTTGTCACCTCTACTGCATATTCATCAGGGATACGATTTAGGTCATACCTGAGTGGCCTAGTGTTTTTCCCTACTTTCTTCACTTTAAGCCTAAATTTTGCAACAAGAAGCTCATGCTCTGAGCCACACTCAGCTCCTGTTCTAGTTTTTACTGACTGTATAGAGCTTCTCCATCTTTGGCTGGAGAGCACATAGTCAATCTGATTTCTGTGTTGACCGTCTGGTGATGTCCATGTGTAGAGTTGTCTCTCGGGTTGTTGGAAAAGAGTGTTTCCTATGACCATCGTATTCTCTTGACAAAATTCTACCAGCCTGTGCCCTGCTTCATTTTGTACTCCAAGGCCAAACTTGCCTGTTATTCTGGTTATCTTTTGGCTTCCTACTTTAGCATTCCAATCCCCCATGGTGATAAGGACATCATTTTTGGGTGTTAATTCTAGAAGGTGTCAGACTTATAAGAAACTGCAAAATAAGCTGTAGTAAATGAAACCATGTATACACATGCCTCTACATGTTATCCTAGCATTCTGACCAACCCCATACTTCAGGTTCTATCCAGACACTCAGCTCGCCTACATGAAAGCAAAAGATGTGAGGGCATGCAGCCAAGCTCCACCCCTCATGTTTGTATGCACCTGATACCTCTTTTGGCCTGTGTGTGTTTAGCACTAAATTCTGAAGTTGGTTCATTAGCACATTTGGCCTGCCTTATTAAATGCCCTTTTGTGGAGAGATCTGGAAGCTCAATCTGTCATTAGTTTGTTATATTATAAACCTGCAAATTTCTCTTTCTTCCTACCTTTTCTCTTTCCCTGTCGTGTAATTGCTGAATTCTCATATTGTGTCTGAGGATCAGTTTCTATTCAGCAGCATTTTGGGTGCCCAAGTCGGAAAAAAGGCCTCGATGTCCTGAACTGATTCATCTTGAATAATTTCATCAGAACTTTGACTTGAATTCATCCACCTCAAATTGATTTGTCTCATCTTGAATCGATTCAGGACATCAAGGCAGCCATGTCAGTGCTGGGGTAAGTGTGTTCGAAGTGAGGGGCAGTGTTTTGAGGGGGATGTGTCTTTTAAGTTCTTGACGTGTCTGTCAAGTCCTGAATCCACTGTATTCTAAGAAGTGAGTGTTCATCCTTCCAATGTTGTGGTATTTAGTACAAAATTTATCATATAATAACCTTCTCTCAAAAAATGTTATTGCCAAACACTGCCAAAATATACATTTAAAAGAAACATTAGCTGTACTGTACCTCTAGATTTCACCAATCCCTTCTTAAAGAGATACTGTGGCATCCAACAAACATGAAAGAAAAGTTTTGCTGAATGCAATGAAGCGTAAAGTCCATAGGCATAACACCAAAGCAGCAATCCACTGATTTTTAAATAAGATAATCTAGTTCCATATTCCAATCCTGTTTAGAACCTTAAATGTGTATGTATGTTCTTGGAACCTTAGAACATATGTTTATCATATTCATATTTACCAACAAAAAATTTGCAAAGACATGGAACATGAGTTACTTTGTTTGACCAACCTCAGTAAATACTTCCAATAACAGTGAAGAATCTGACTCTGTAAAAGTGGCAAGGCAAAACTAGATACTAACAAATGGTATAACTGCAGTATTGCTATTTAAGTATTGCTGGCAAAACAAGAACACATTGTCAGCACTCATGGGTTGCTCTTAAGTAAGAATTTTATAGTTTATGTCCACTACAAAAAACATTCTTAGCAATTTTTAGAACTAGAATGCTTCAATTTAGAATGAGAAAATGAATCAAAGTATAATTGAGTGACATTATACTACATGCCTCTAACAGTAGAAACTCTGTGAAGAACCATATCTATTCTATGCCTAGAACCTAATGCCATCCATGAAGAGAGAAGAAGCAGATTGTAAGATTTTAAAACCAACCTGGGCAAAATATCAAAGCAAAATGGGAAAGATAAAAATCAGTACAACAAGATCTAGAAAACCAAATCCACTTTCTTTAATGGTCATTGTATCCTTTTCAAAAACAATTGTAGTGGACAGGAACTTGAAGCCAGCTAATTACTCAAAATGCAAATGTATCTGCAGATGTTGGTGATTCAGATTATTTATAACCAGCAATTTATTTAATTACCAGCTTGGTGGAGTGATACTGATTTGAATAAAGCCTGGACATTTAATTGAAATAAAATTGCCTTCTTGCTCTCTAGTGTTGAATGCTCTTGGCTGTTGTTGCAGCAGGAAAAAAAAAACAAGGAAAAGCAGCTGCCACCAGAGTGGAAAAAGCAGGTTATACAGTGATTTCTATATTCTCTCCAGAAAGGGAAAGCTGGAGCTGCTTCAAGGCAAATGAAGTGGTTCCCAAAAGAGCAAGTAGCATGAAGAACAAGCAGAGGTTTGTAATAAAATGCCACAGTGTGTGCCTAACACTTAACAGGAGAGCCCAGGAATGATAATGCAGTTCCTGCTCTCCAAGCAGAAAAAGAAAGAAAAAGGGTGTGTGTGGGGAGGTGGGGGGGGGATCTTTGTCATTCTTGTTTTCTCACCCTGCTGAAACCTGTTATTGCTGTACTGGTAAATAACACTAAGCAGGTCCAGGTTAAGGAGCTGACAGCCAGCTGCAAACATCAGCAATTCATTGCTAACCAGCAGTGAAGGAGATGTTTCTGCAGATTAGAAGAGATGGAAAGGTGCCCAGTATTCTGTCCTTTGTGCTGATACCTTCCCAATATAGTGTATACAGCTTAGCTTCTTTACTTTTATGGTTCATATCCACTCCCTAGTTTGGCCTGCTCAAATTTCAAATCCTGAATTTGAAAGATTAATCTCCTTTCCTCCCACTGATGCTGAATTGCCCTCACCATTCTGTGAATTCTGAAACCAGAAAGCATGCGTTTTTGTTGGGCTATTTGGGGTTCTGCAACTTTAATTTGCTTTTAATTTACTAATGAATATGTTTATGCTTACTTGGGAGATGAGTAAGCAGTTATCAGTCCCTATTTTTGGATGGCCCCTTCACTACCAAACTCACAGATACCGATCACCCAGTTTGGTATTAGAAAGAAAGATGAAATAACAACAAAGTAGGTAACAAAGCAGAGGGGATTAATAGAAAGCATGAGAGCTGAGAGATTTAACACAGGTTACTAAAGGTGGTGAAGACAAGGAGGCAAAGGAAGTCAGAGTGCTTTCTCAATTGTTCACTCACAATAATTTTGATGGCCCTTCATAGTTACAAGCAGAGCATCATGATAAATATGTTTTCTTCTAGTTGTGTTAGGAAGGAGATGTTACAAGCTAAAAAGTAAAGGCTGAGGGCTGAAGGTTATCTATTCTGTCTTGTTTCAAAGTGGCAAGAGACATTAAAGACATCTAGACATTGACTAGGCTCCCTTTCCTTTTTCCCTGTCCTCTTTGGTACCTCTTTGATCCGTTTGACTAAAGCATTCTGGTCAAAGGCAACTGCTTCTGCACACTGGTGAAGGTGGTCTTGGTACCGGAGGCACAGCTGCAGAACTTGCTGAGAGTCCAGCTTCTCCAGCTTAATGTTAGTAGGAGATGTTTGCCCACTAAGAAGACCTAGAGGAAAACAACAATAGAGGCAATTACTGAAACTGATCACAGATTATATTTAAACGTATTATATTTAATGGCTCCTAAACTTTCAATTGCAGTCAGTCCCAGGGTCATTTATAAGGAAATGCTTCAAGTTAAAAATATGGACAGTGAAGCAGCATATATTTCATACAGGCAAACCCAGGAGCAGCTCAAAAGCCTCTTGACATATGTACATTGTAGAATATACACTTCTATAAATGTGTTTGTCACATGTTTGGGGTATGTGGTGATAGCTGGACAGTTGCAGAGCAATGCTGTACGCCCCCTCCCTGATCCATATACTAGCCTCATAAATTCTGAAAATATACTTTACATTTTAGGCATCTTAGATTTCTATTGTACAATTCACTAGAGTAGAGTGAAAAAGGGAGATTCACTTCAGAAAAATATTTGTCAGCATAGAAATGACTTCTACTGTTTGTAATTTTTCAGGCAATGCTACAAAATGCTGGATTGTTAGAACGATAACCAACTGATTAAGATTGTCCATGCATCCTGCCAAGTGTGCTTTATTTGCTCTTAATAATAACATCAAATAGGAAGCTCTGATTGGCTGTGGAGCATCATGACACCATCATGTACAAGACATGATCCCTGATTGGCTGGCATCACTCAAGGAAGAATGAAACAGAAAAAAATTGTGAGGCTGAACAGTTGAACAGAGGCATGACAAAGGCATGATTAAAATGTGGGTACTCTCTCCACTAATTACTTTCGAGATGAAAAACAAATAGTAGAAAATTGATTTATTTTAATTCATACCCCACTTTTCTACTACAAAAATGGAACTCAAGACAGTTTACAATCATAAATAATACAATAAAACAAATGTATTAAAGCCCATTAAAAATAGAACACAGAATAAATATAATATGCAACCCATCAGAGTCACTTATAAAACAAAGGTGTGCTTAAATAAAATGGTCTTTGCCTGAACTGATGTCACCCACTCCAACATATGCTGAAGGTTGAAGGCTTGCCAAGTAAAATTACAGAATCCTTGATTATTACTTTCTTGTTGCAGTGTCAATTTCTTAACAGGTCATCAGTGTCACATTTATTCCATGTTATCAGTCTGATTTTTATTTTATATTTCCTTGGACATAATTCTGTGAAAAGTGACTAATGATCTTTAAAAATAAAATTACAAATTTACCACTCAGCTAGTAACTAAGTATTTTTCATGGATAAAACTTTTTCAGTTATGGACACATATGCTGCTAGAAAGATTTGATTAAATGTTTAAATTGCATACTTTAAAAAACTGATAGAAATAATACTATCAACACTATTATAATAGTGCTTAGCTGTTTTGCTACTTTTTAAAAAAGCCTTCTGTGGTTTTCCGTGTAATGATATTCTGGGAGGTAGACAACATGGGTGTCTGAACTATAATAAAGAAAATGTATGAGAAAGATCTGCTTACTATCATATTGCAAACCCTTTATATTCCCCTCTCCCCCACATATTAAGCAGTCACAAAAGCTGTCTCACTCCCACACAACACCTCTGGTTGTTCCATTTTGAAAAACAGAATCTATTTGTTTAGATCAGAAATTCCTGAACAGCATTCAAAGGCATACATAGTAGTGTGCTACGAGAGAAGTGTTGGGTGTGATACAAAAATTAATTATGTAATACAAGGGCTCTTGTGAACCCAAGGATTCATCCTCTGTCACAGTCAAATATGACTAACTGGTCTGCCCTTGTTCCTGCTGGGATCTACCATGCTGCTCCATACATACATAAGACATGACACACAAAATTAATCAGTCTTGGAGGCAACTATATGTACCACTCTTCCAATAAGGAAGCCTACAGAAAACAATCACTCACTCAGAAACACAGGGTAGCCTTTCCTAAGAGCAGCTAATTCATACTAATTTGTTACATATGGTCACAACTCAATATTAACAAACCATGAGAAGACCAGCACAAGTGAGAGTGCATGACAATTTAATCATAGCTCAAAACTCTGGGTCTGGACATCACAATAAACAACTGGGTGGGTTATCCTGGTGGGAACAGGTAGGTATGCAGGAAATAAATCCTATTCATTTTCTCACAAACCCAGTTTGTTAACAGTGCATTGCTACAACCATTAAAACAAAGCTCAATCATCAACAAACAACTAATCCTTTTCTTTGCATACCAAAAAGCCTCAATGGGTTTCTTTTCATATAGCATGCGTGTATGCATGTATGTGCCTGTATAGGGTTGCATAGCCTTTTGTCCATAGGCTAATTTGCAGCCTGCTGTAGCTTTATTTATTACATTTATATCCCTTTTTCATCTTGCAAAGAATTCAAGGCATAATCCTCCCCATTTTTATCCTCACAGCAATGCTGTGAGGTAGATCAGGCTGAAAGTCAATAGCTGCCTCAAAGTCACCCAATGTCCTTCATGCCCAAGTGGATCTTCTAAGTCCCAGTCCAACACTCTAACCGCTAAACCACATTGCCTCTCTAAATGTAAGCCCTAGTACATGCCAGCAGCCATTTTGAATGTTCCTCTTCCAACAGTGGGTTGCATGTTTTCTAGTGTTGTCCAAATCCAGGCAGCAACCCATGGTCTGTGCAGGGATATTTGTAGGCTGTCTATTTCACCCTCCAACAACACCTGCTGTCCAGATTTGGATTACAAGGCAAACTGTGGCTTCCTCTGCTGAGGGCTGAATATTCAAAATGGCTGCTGGCGTGCTGTACAACCTGCTGCGGCTCATCTACGAAATAAACTCTTGTCAAATAAGCACTTCTTATACAAAAAGATAGTGGTCAAGCTGCTCTGTAAGGGGAAAAATCTTTGTAAGCAGGGGTTGACACAGGGCATGACTGTTAGACTGAAACTGAAGCGTCATGAACTGCAAAAGCTGGTACAGAATAGGGGAGAACAACTGCTGGTGCAATCAAGTTTGCACATCCATATTACTTCGATATTGTATCGCTTGCATTGGCTACCAGTTGAGTGCCAGGCCCAATTTATATGTTAAAACAAGCATTTAAAGCCCTAAACTGCTTGGAACTGGGAAACCTGAAGGATCACCTGCTCCCATATGTACCTATACAATCCCTAAGATCAGGTGAGGAGGCCCTTCTTTGTGAGCATCTTCCAGGAAGATAAGGTAAATGGTAAAATAGAAGAGAGGCCTTCTCAGTTGCTACACCCCATCTATGGAATGGCTTTCCAAGAGTAGTTCACCATCATTACAAACTTTTTGACACCAAGCAAAATCAGTCCTATTCTCCAGATATTTTAATAATTGATTTTATACTACACAATTTTAAGGCATATAGTTTTTTTAGTTTTCATATGCTATTTTAATCTATTTATATCTGATCCCTCAGCTCCCTATTGTCTATTTTATTTTAGACTGTTAATGTGTTGTTATATGTTTTTATTATATGTTATTTTTATTGTTTCTTCGTAATCCGCTTAGAGTCCTTGGGACTAATTAACTGTGGAATATACATTCAATGAATGACTGAATGGAGAGCCTGTTGGACTCTTGTTTTGTTGGAATGGAATGGAGACTTGAACCCAGGTTACACACTATCTCACTGGACAAGAACCAAAAATAATTATCTAATTTAAAGCAGGGAACTCTGTATAATAGTTAAGCTGCTGTGTAGAAGAAAAACAGCATCCTTAATCTCTGCTTATCTTCTCAAAGCTAGCAGACAAATAAAAACTTGTTATAAACACACAAATATACAAAAATACAAATAAGGTTTACATCAAACTGTTCTCTTCTACAGATCCCTTTTCCTTCCCCTTCCCCACTATTCCTCACAACTCCTTATGTTGTGCTGTGTGGAAAAAACAGGGGCCCTGCTCTTGCCAAGGATGATCTCAGCTCATTCTTATTTGGTGATATGCAGGAGAAAAACATTTGCAGAGTTTTAAAGCTCCAAACTTAATGGCAAATTTTTGTTCTTGTGTTCACTGCTTGCTGGCCACTAGTTTTTGTTTGCTGTTGCACCGATGCAACAAGTCCCTGTATCTGAAGAAACATTTAAAAACAAGGTATGACATCTCTGTGACAACTGCACAGACCTCCCAGAGCTATTTTCCTATTCAAAAAGGAGACAAAAAACGTGCGATACTGGAGCAAACAGATGGTCAATAATATCACGCAGAATTGATCCTGAGACTAAAGTTAGTAAATATATCTCCCTATTTTTAATAAAAGATGGTAAATAAAATTCATATAAAGTACTAAATAGAATTCCTACATCCCTAAAAGAAAAATGAACAAAGGAAGTGATCACTCTTAATTTGCTAATTTATTATGGAGTAATATTCAACTGTGCACGACCCTTTTGAGCTCAGAGTGATTAATTCAGCAAGAACTAAAGTAGATGAACAGCCCAAATACAGCAAGGGTATGTGTAATCTTGTCTTCTATAATTAACCATAACCCCAACTATAGACACTGCATGATAAAAGTGCACTGCAAAACTACAAAAGTACTCTGTGTATGTGCATGTTAACCAAATATATTTGTGTTTAGTTCAGAATTCAAATGTTGAGGAAAAACTTAACAGCACGCAATTTTAAAAAGTGAACAGAAAAATTCATGGAGGACAAGACTACTAGTCAGCTGGCTAAACATGATCAGCAAGACCAGAGGGATGTCTGAATATCAGCTGCAGGGGAACATGAGTAGAAGAGCGCTGTTGTCCACATCTTCTGCTCATGGGCTTCTCAGAGGCTTCTGATTGGCCACGGCTAGGATGAAGGATTAAATGGGCTTATGGTCAGATCCAGAAGTATATTTCTTATGTTCCTAAATAAGAGCATGCCTTGTTTATATATTAAAAATCATTCAGCATGTTTTGCAAGACATCTTATTTTTATTGTGAAGGTAGCAAACTATTCCAAAAATGTTTGATTTAATCAGTATACTCAACTTCTGGTGGAACGGATTAAAAGGCAGTATTACGCATGGCAGAATAATTGTA